TCTCAGATGACATTTTTTCTGATGTTTAAATTCTTGTTTTAGGACTCTTGGTAGTTAGTAGAAATATTCAACAAGACGTGACACACTGGTTCATGATACACTTCACTCGAACTGATAAAATGATAGCACCAGTAGACTGTGATAAGTTATGTAAATATATTGTAATACCTAGAGCAACCACTAAAAAAAGCCATACAAAGAAATATACTCAAAATACTACAGAGAAATCAAAATGGAATTATAAAAATGTTAAAATAACCCACAGGAAGGCAGGAAAAAGAAAACAGAGGTAACAAACAGAAAACACCAACAAGAACAAAAAAGTGTGAAATTAAGACCTAACATATCAATAATTATGTTAAATATAAATGGTTTTAATATCCCAGTTAAATACAGAGATTGTCAGAGTGTATTACAAAACAGGACTCAACTATATGCCATCTGCAAGAAACTCACTTTAAATATGATGATATAGGTAGGTTGAAAGTAAAGGGATGGGAAAATATATGCCATGCAGAGTAATCAAATGAAAGAAGTGGCCATATTAATATCATATAAGGAAAATTACTGGCAAAGAAATTTACCAGAGGCAGAGAAGTATATTATATAATGATAAGAAGGAACAATTCACCAAGAAGACAGAAGACATAGTAATCCTAAAAGCATATGCATCAAGTAACCAAGCTTCAAAATATGTGAAGCAAAACCTGAAAGAACCAAAAGGAGAAGGAGACGAATGCACAATTACAGTTGCAGACTCTAACAGCCCTATGTCAACAACTGATAGAACAACTAGACAGAAAATCAACAAGGATATAGGAGAACTCGCAACACCAAACAAAATGATCTAATTGAGTTTCACAGGACACTTTACCCAGCAACAGCATAACTCACATTCTTTTCACATGTCCCTGGAACATATACCAAGATAGATCATATACCAAAACATAAAGCAAACTTCAACAAATTTAAAAGTATTAAATTCATAGAGTATAATCCTCAACCACAGTGGAATTAGACTAGAAATTAATAACAGAAAGATAACAGGAAAATACCTGAACATTTGGAAAACTGAACAATACACATTCTAAATAATCCTTAAGGCACAGAGGAAGTCTTAGGGGACATAAAAAAAATTGAACTGAATGAAAATAAAAATTTGTGGAACAGAGCTAATACGGTTAACACTAAATGCATACATTAGAAGAAAGGAAGTCTCAAATCAATAATGTAAACTCCCACCTCAAGAACCTATGAAAAGAAGGAAAAAACAATCCCAAAGAAAACAGAAGGAAGAAAATAATAAAGATAACAGCAGATATCAGTGAAATTCAAAACAGAAAAATACTAGAAAAAAAGACACAAAGATCAATACAATTGATCAGTAAAACGAAAAGATCAATATAATTGCAAATTTCTAACAAGACTGAGAAAGAAAAAAAGACAACCCGATTTACCATTATTAAGAATGAAACAGGGATGTCATAGATCTGCAAGCATCAAATGAGTAATAAGGGAATGTTACGAATAATTCTATACACATCAATTTGACAGCTTAGAGAAAATGGACCAATTTCTTGACGAATACTAACTACCACAACTCGTCTGTTAAGAAGTAGATAATTTGAATAACCCTATTCCTATTAAGGAAACTGAATTCGTAATTGAAAATATCACCAAAAAAAGAGATATGCAGTCCCAAGTGGTTTACCTGGAGAATGCCACTAAACATTTCAAGGAAGAATTAACACCAATTCTACAATCTCTTCCAGAAAATATAAGGAGGAAATACTTTGCATTCATTTTATGAAGGCAATATTACCTTAATACCAAAACCAAAGCATAAAAAAGAAAACTAGAGACCAATATCTCTCATGAATAGAGGAAGAATCTTTAACAAAATATTAGCAAATAGAATCCAGTAATATATGAAAGAATTATATACTATGACCAAGTGGAGTTTATTCCAGGAATGCAAGACTGGTTTAATATTTGAAAAAAAATCAACACAATCCACCATTAACAGACTACAGAAGAAAAATCACATGATCATATCAATTTATGCAGAAAAAACATGCTGACAAAATTCAGTGCCCATTTATGATTAAAACTCAGAAAAACAGAAACGGGGAAAGCTTCAACTTGATAAAGAATATCTATAAAAACCTACACCTAACGCTAAACATAATTGTGAAAGATTTACTCCCTAAGATTGGGAACAAGGAAAGAATGGCTGCTCTCATCACTTTTATTCAACATGGTATTGGAAGTGCCAGCTAGTGCAAAAAGACAGTAAAGGGAAATATAAAGCTTACAGGTTGGAGAAGAAGAAATAAAACGGTTCCTATTTGCAGGTGATGTGATTGTTTATGTAGAAAATCCCAAGGAATTAAAAAAAAAAAAAAAACCTCCTGGAATTAAAAGTAAGTTGAGCAAAGTTGCAGAATACAAGATAAGCATACAAAAATCAATTGAGTCCCTTCCAGACTTTCTGGAGCCATGGAGGCTGTATGATGCCCTGAAACTATTGCCCTGAGGAAGTCTTTAAACCTTAAAGCAAAACTATCCCCCGAAGTCATCTTTAAACCAAACAGTAGTTTAGCTTAATTTAGAAAGAATGTCTACCTTGAGTATTGTGCTCTTCTAAAGAATTATCTTTATGTGGTCAAATTGACAACAGCAACTAGAAAGGTTAGTTGAGAAGTATAGGGGGCAGTGAGTTTGTATTAATGATGGTGAGATAATTTGCAAAAGGGTATTAAGAGAGGTGGCACAGTGTAAAGAAGATAACCAGTGTTACTGACTTGTACATATAGAAGTTGTTAAATTGGTGTCTGTTTTGTTGTATATATTTTCACCAAAAATAAAAAAAAAAAGAATCAATTAATTTCCTGTGTAATACCAATAAACTCATAGAAACCAAAATTAAAAATATAGTACCATTTATAATTGTTCAAAAATAATGAAATACTTTGGTGTCTTGTATACTAAAGGCTTCATAATGTTGATAAAGACATCAAAGAAGATCTGATACTAAAAAGAAGATCAACTTCTTTTTAACAAAGGTGCAAAAGGAAGTCAATGGAGGAAAGACAGCCTTTTCAACAAGTGGTGCTGGAGCAATTGGACATCCATAGGCAAAAAATGAAACTCGCCCTGAAAGCTTATGTCAAAATTAGCTCAGAATGGATTATAGAATTAAATGTGAATCTATAAAACCTTTAGGAGAAAATCTTTATACTATAGGGTGAGGCACAGAGTTCTTAAACTTTATACTAAAAGCACAATCCATGAAAGAAAAAACTGATAAGTTAGACATTATCAAAATTGAAAAAAAAAAAACCTTTTGTTCTTTAACAGAGGATGAGAAGGCAAGTTACAGACTGGGAGAAAATAATTGCAAACCACATATCCAACTAAGAACCAATATCGAGACTATAAAGTCTCAAAATATTATAGTAAAATAATAAACCATCCACTTAGAAAATGGGCAAAAAAACAACCAGGAAGAGACATTTCACTGAAGAGCATGTACAGAAATCAAATAAGCACACGAAAAGAAGATCAAATTAAAAATACAATGATAAATCATTACATGCCCATCAGAATGGCTAAAATAAAAAATAGTGCAACTCCAAAGGCTGGTGAGGATACAGAGAAATGATCACTCGCTCATTGCCAGTGGGAATGTAAAATGGTACAGCCATTCTGTAAAACAAAACAAAGTGAAGCGTGCACCTATATACAACCCAGGAATTGCACTCCTGGGTATTTATCCCAGAGAAAGGAAAACTTATGTTCACACAGAAACCTGTTTAGGGCAGTTCTATTCATAATAGGCCCAAACTGGAAACAGTACAGTATCCTTCAACGAGTGAGTGATTAAACAACCCACACTGTGGAAAACTACTCAGCAATAAAAATGCACTAACTGTTGATCCACACACCAGCCTCGCTGCATTTCCAGAGTATTACGTTGAGTGTTTGCTTTCATTTACGTAATATTCTTGACATGAAGAAATGATAGAAATGGCAAATAGGTTAATGTTTTCTAGAGGTTAATAAAGAGTGGGGGTGGGAGGGAAGTGGGTTTGACTATAAAAGGGCAACATGAGGGATCCTTGTGGTGATGGAAATGTTCTGTATCTTGACTGTATCAATGTCAGTATCCTAGTTGTGACAGTGTTCTGTAGTTTTGCAAGATGTTACCCTTGAGGGAAACTAGGTAAAGAGTACATGGAGTGTTTCTATATTATTTCTTACAACTGCATGCGAATCTGCAATGAATCCAAACTAAAAGACAAGCACACAAAAAACCTCTAATGGTTTCTAGTCACAGAATAAGACCCAGAGCCTTTCCTTGGCCTGTGGCCTACAGGCCCTTCTCAATGTCATTCATGTCCTACCTCTCTCTCGCTCACATGATGCTGTGGCCTTTTTTGCTGTTCCTGGAATGCTTAGCAAGCTCCTACCTCAGGGCCTTTTTACTTGCTATTCCTGCTGCCTGGAAAACTTCTCTGTCTCTGGTTTGCTCACTCACTTCATCCAGGTCTCTGCTCACGTCACCTTATCAGAGAGATTTTTCCTTGAGCACTATCTACAGTAGTATGCCTGTCACTGTCTGTTGTGCTACCCTGATTTGTTTATCTTCTCTCAGAAACAGATTTGGTGCTTTTAAAACTTCAAAGTCAAGATTAGGAACTTTAAAATTCCCTACTATGCCTCCTCCTTTCCGTGTGCTCTCCTCCTGGGATTTGGAGCATTTAGTTTGAGAAATAAATGAAAAAGACTGGCATACCCTGTTTTGTTTCCTTATGCTGATTGCTCTGACTGAAGTGGAACTTACGAGTTCTGTAGGAGTAAATGTACTCTATTCTGTCAAACTCAGTTTATCATAAACCACTGGTGTTTCCAAAAACAGCCAAGACTTCAAAAAGTCCACTTCATACATGTACACCATGAATCTGCCTCTAAATGACTGGACTCTAATTCTCTTCTAGGCTGTTTAATCAGTTCGTGGTGCGAAGATACATTTCAAGAGGACCTTTAGAAATCTTGAACAAGCCTCCCCGCATGTGGCAGGTATGTCTCAGTCTACACAGAGTGTGCAAAAAGTGTAACCTTTTTATTTTTCTGTGTTGTTACTGTTGTTACTTGTCCAGATAGCTCTGACTCGCGGTGACGTTATGTATAACAGAATGAAACATTGCACTGTCCTGCGCTATCTCTATGATTTTTGCTATCTTTGAGTCCATCGGTTTGATCACTGTGTCAGCCCATCACACCGAGGGCTGCCTTTGCTGAGCCTCTGCTTTACCAACCATGATATCCTTTTCTAGGACCGAAAAAAGGCCTTACTGGGAGAAAGGCCTGGTAATCTATATCCAAAAATTAGCCTCTGAAAACCTTATGGATAGCAGCAGAAAATATTATTCTTTATAGCTAAATTTAAATTGCATTAGGTCCTCCATTTAGGCATGTGGCAGCAATCTGAGGTTGCATCTAAGTTCTAGGTGAGGTTAAGAGGTGCCAAGATCTTGGGAGGTGCCTTACCTGCTCCTCAGCTGCTATCTTCCCATTAAGTCATGTACCCTCTTGAGACATCCATCCTCCCACCCCTCATCAGTACTTGTGGGCCGCTGCTATCGTCAAAGATCTTCAGCTCTCCTCTCAGCTACTTCTAGGCCCCTCCTGGGCATACCTCCAGCATGCTATTGCTCCTGCTGAGCCCAGGAAAACTCTCTTTGCCCTTGGATGCCACTCTGAAGCACATGGTAATTGTTCCACTGCTCGTGTGTCAGGCTACGGCACGGGGTCCTTTGCAAGACTGGTCAGGCCCATCTGCCTGGACATACTATGCAGCCGTTTCTAAGGTCTTGACTCCACCCAAGAAAGAAGGTTCTTATCACCCCTCAACATTTTTTGGGTTTCTGTCTGTAACAGTACTTTGAACAAGCACTACTTAGGGAATACAATCAAAACACAATTGATTTTTGTTTCCTGCTATTTCTTTAACGTATTGGGGGAAGGAGAGAATTATTCCCTTGCCTCTGGATGAAATTTAGGTCTTAGGCAGGATCTGTACCTTATAGGTTCAGTCTTAGATTAAAAAATAGAAAATCCCCTGACACTTTTAGTCACAAACATAATCTCCAGAGAGAAATTGGAATGTCTAATCCTGGACCATAATCATAACTTCAAAGTTAATTTAATATAAAATTTTTTTCCTCCCCCATCTGAGGCCAATTTGTGGGATGGGCTATTACAGTGGGAGAGGGTGTGTCTTTTTCTTTCTCTCCTCGTAGGTCTCCTCCTCCCCCACTTGCTAGCCACTGCTGTTGAACCATAAGGGGTTGGAGCATGGGAAAGAAGAGGGAAAAATTGGCTCAGGGATGTTTCGCTTTTG